ATTGGACAGTAGATTTCTCCTTTAAAATGCAGTGAAAGCTACTGCAGTGATAATGTGTTTTTTGTGTGTAACCTGTTTTTGCCATGATGGTACGAATCTCTACAGATAAGGATGCAACTAAAAATAATTGACCATACCTATAACTGCTGACTTGGGATTTTGAACATCTTTTTCTTGCTTACTTTTCCATTTGCAGTATTTAATATAGATACTACTTTTCATAGAATTCCTACAATTTGTGTGATGGTAGCTGCTACTAGAAGTTATGTAACTCAACCACTTTGGGGAAAAAAAAATTTTTTTTGAGGTGTGAAATGCCAAAAGGTACTGGGGCATACTGAGAAGTAAGTCTTGTATGTATAAAAATAAGAGAGGCAAGTAGCCCTGCATTAAAACTTTTTCCCCATCGATGAATCTTTAAATAGCCATGCTAAACATTTTTGACTGACAGAAAAATTGCATCAGTAACCTAAATACCATTTTATCTTGGTGCAACTTCAAAAGTGGATGAATTAAAAATCTTTCAGTATCAGGCTTTGTAACTTTAAGCAGTGACTGGCCAGTAGCCACAATGTGTGTATTCCTATTTTTTGCATCTCCTGATATAGACTGACTTGTTAAGTTTTTACATTTGAATAAATTATTCAGTGTAAAAGAATATCAGGTGACCAGTCTAAAAAAAAGTTACAGGGCTGCAATTGTTACTTTTTAAACTAGTTTAGTTTCCAAAGCGGAATGAATGTAATGCTAATTAGTTTGATTTGAGCTAGGCGTTGATTATGTAAGCTTTTCTCTCTCAGCTCTATGATGCGCCTTTGATATTGCCCTGTAAAATACCTTTGTTCCGGTCATGGGACCCTAGAGTGCGGGTGATCACTGCTGAACAGTACAGGGGCTAAATGTTTGTTTAGATGCAATCCAGTATTGCAAGAAAAATACAAGGGAATGGTGGAGGTCTTCGTGCTGTGGGCGGAGGGAGGATAGTGAGGTTTCATTAGCTAAATTACAAATATAGGGCCAAATTCTGCTAATTTTCCCCTGTGTAAATCGGACTCACCCCACAGGCTTTTAATTACCTAGGTAACTAGAAGAATTACTGTTGTATGCATGATTGTTTCTCTGCCATAGCAATCACGTTGCTCTTCTTATACTGTCAAGTGCATACACACAATTTTTGGAAAGTTGGACAAATACAATAAAACAGCATCTGTGCATTCCATTTATACTAGTCCAAGAGTATAGATTCACTGACAGACCTGATGATTGTCTTTAATAAAACTCTAGGCTTGGGGAATGAAAGCATGGATCACTTTCTCTTTAGAGCAGGCTACCCTTGAACAAGCTGACACACTTTGTCACTCTAAAATTTGGGGAGCTTGCTGGCTGGCAGTTTACTACATTTTTGTGAAGGGTGTTCCATGTCCTTCAGACACATTTGGTAGGTGGGATTGCACTGTATGTTTGTAAAGAAGATACATTTGAGGCCCTGCTAGATCTATGCACTTACTGTAGTTACCCCCTCATTAAATGTGTATTCCTTGAGTGTTTCAAATTGGCATCTCACATAAGCACTCTAGAATGTGCAGTATTGAGTGTGACTGTACCTTGACATCAGCCCAGACCACTTATTTTGTGAGACCCAAAGATTTCTTTGGGTAAACAGGGTTGCACATTACTCTAGAAGCACAGACCACTTACAGCCTCTTGACTGTCCTGTTTAGAGGAAAGCTAATGAATTTTATATGCAAAATTGGATGATAGGCGGCTACAAAATTCTTTGACCTTTCTGGTATCTGGATATGGAAGCTTTTAAATTAACCTCACCCCACTTTGCCATCATCTTTTCTGTCTTCTCCATCAGACTAGTAAAAGTGGAAATGAAGATATGTGGTCTGCCATTTAGGGTTCAAGTAACAATGCAGAATACTGTATATGTTGGCAGGATGGGTCTCAATTTTGGGAAGTAAAAGCTGGAAGAAATTATTCCAATAGTTATTCCAATAGGGTGAGGTGACTTACAAGTCAATCAAGAAATTTCACAACTTATCGAATTTACATTTATTTAAATATAATTTTGCCTTTTTTTCTTCCTTGTTTTTATTGAAAAAGACACGCAAAGGATATTTAAGAATTTTTGGTCCTGAATTTTCTATATCTAACAGCAGATTACCTTAAGGCAGGCCTGCACAACTCGTAAAGCGGCAAGGGCCATATTACTCAAAAGAAAACAGCTGAGGGCCAAAACCCCCCAGCACTGCCCAGCCCCCCCGAAACACAACACCCGCCCCACAGAAACAACCCCCCCCTCCCCCAGCGCTGCCTGCCCCACAGAAACAAGCCCTTCTTTCCCAGCGCCGCCCCACCGAAACAGCGGTATTGAACCTTGGTAATATGTTATAGCGGGCCCCTAAGGTAGTATAATTAAGGTAAAAGAAAAATGTCTTTTTTGCTAGAAGTAGAATAAGATCTTCCCCCCACTTTGTAATCAATTGCCCTGTTGAATGAATGAGGTGTGAATGAGGAAGGTGTGGAAGGCAGGCACCTCCAGACAGCTGCAACCCTTGGAGAGTGGATGGGAGCCAGACCAGATCAGTAGAACAGGTCAGCCACCGACTCGCCGCTCGCCTCCTCAGCCCCCCTCCCCCAGCTTGCCTACTCACCCCCTGCCACTGCCCACCCGCTTGCCTCCTCAGCCGCCTCCTCCTCTGCTGCCGGCTCACCTGCCCCCCCGCCACTGGCCGCCCGCTTGCCTCCTCAGCCCCCCACACCCCTCAGCTCACCTACTCACCCCCCGCCACTTCCCGCTCACCTCCTCAGCCCCCGTCCCTCACCCGCCGCTTGCCTACTCACCCCCCCGCGGGCCGCACAGCGAGCCCTCGCGGGCCGCATGTTGTGCAGGCCTGCCTTAAGGTAAGGGGAGTAATAGGCATGAATAGGACTCTTGCTCTTTATTTGTAAATAGGCTTGGCATAATTGTTTCCTTTTTATAATTTTGATGGATATCAATGTTTATTTTTAAGCACTCTTTATTTGTATCTGTTTAAACTTTCACAGTTGTAGGAAATTATGGGGGGGGGCAATCAACCAATTTAATGACAAGTTTCAAAATGTTAAAACTTTATCATGGTTAAAATACAAATTGTTAACATCCCATGTCAAAATATATAAATGGAATATTCTTAAATCAAACACTTACATTCTCAAGCACCATTTTTCTTTCTTTGCCTATCTGTAAATTTCAGTTACCCTAAAAGGAAATGTTATGTTGTAGGTTTGTGTGTCTACAGTGAAATGGACACTTACCAACATTTACTGATAAAAATCCAGTCCTTCCAAAGCCTGTTTAAAAGATGTGTATGCAATATAATTACTTGACCTCTCAATCCTGACAATTGATGTTTTTATTCTGATCATATTTCAGTGTGGGCATCTTTTTAAAATCAGGTTTTGAAAATTTGTGTTCTAAGTTTTCTCCTGGTTAATTGAAAGCTGTTATGCATATAACCAAGTCTGGCAAAGTGAGCTGCTGGAAGCTAGCTCTTACTCAGGGAATTAGAGGTGGGTTGAGTCTAGAACCATCTTGTCCAGAGCTGCTTCTGACCTCTCACTCCACACCCTCAGCTTGGAGGAAAATTTAAAGAGTTAAGAAACCCAATCCCTGAAAAAATCTAAGGTAAGACTTCTTCCTCCAGCTGCTCAAATTTCCCCCAAGGACTTCTAGAAGAGGGAGAGCATGTTCTGGTTATTTTGAGAATGCTGAAAAGTGTGTTTTACATTGTCTGCAGCCAAACTCTGGAGCATTAGTTTCAGTTGGTGAGAAAATAGAGCTGGTCCTATGCATGCATCCATGATTAAGTTTAATCTTGTAGAATAAGCTCCTCGAAAGACTTCAGGGTTGTTGGAAACAAGCTCAGATTTTAAAAATTTAACGCCCTCTTTCCCCTCCAAAAAAAACAAAAACAACTCAGTCTGTCCCCCACGAGGTGGTTGTCCTTGCAGACATGGCCACATTGGCTAAGGATGGAACTGCTGCCTGGTATGTGGGTCTCTTGAGTTATTTGCCCTCTCTGATGTCATTGCACTGCAGCTGTGTAACTACTCCAGCATGGAGGGCAACTGTAATGAGTTGTGGACATCTTTTCATGGAAGAGAACTGAGCATGTCTGACTAATTCACTTCCCTGTCTTATGTAAAAATGCCCAACACACTTTTGGTGGTTTAAATAGGATACATTAAGAAAACTTTCCTGAGGGCAAGATGTTTTGCTGTGCAATAATATCCTAAGGAAGTGATGGAAGCTGAGGGTTGCTTAGCATACTTTAAACTAGACAAGATACTATTACATGGGAAATGAACAAGGACTGATCTAGATTCTGCGTTCTTGGCTTGGAACAGATTGAGTCTCAACTCATGAGCAGGTAAAATAATACAATGCTTATACTATGGTAACTTACATACCCATATTGCTTTTTGGTTTGTAACGTGAATGAAAATCCAGGTTATAGATGTATTGTGTGTGTAAGTCCATTGATGAACAGGTGCTCAAATAAGGTATGTCAAACGGATGAGGCATCAGAAGTATTAAATTGCTCAAAGTTCAACTTGCACTAAAAAGTCTGGTTTACCAGAGCACAAAACTATAAAGACTGCCAGCAAGATCCCTAATTCAATGCTGAATTAACTCTATTTGGTGTTAGTTCTAAATACCTGTACATTGCCTCTGGACTCAACATGTGGTTGATGATTGGGGGGGGCAGGACATGGGTATATTAATGCAGCAACTCTAATCCCATTCAATTGATGCACAAAATCAGCATATATGTATTTCATATATTTAGGAAGTTATGAGTGCTCCCTGGCAACTTAAAAAAACCCTGCACAAACTTTGCTCTGATAAGTTAGTAGGGGTCATACATAATCAACAGTGATTTGTGCTTTCCAAAAATCTGTGTTTGGGAAGTGGGTATTACCCCTCTAAAAGTAGCACACAACAAAAATCCTCTGTTTCAGTTCACAATTTAATAGTGAAAGACATTGAGAAGTCTTGATTTACTTATTTAAAAAAACCCACAAAGCAATATAGTTTCATGGTTTATTGTAGTAACCCACCCAAGCATTAGAGGGAGTTGTGTATTTTTCAGTTTTAATCTTTGAGTTCTTCAGGATTGCTGCTTGCTTCAGGCAACTGGAGCATTTTCATAAATATTCCATACTGTCTTGAGCTGAGGTACATTCCAAATGCAGCCTGCAGAAGAATAGCAAAACTCATCTTCTTAAAGACTGGTTGAGAGACTTTAATCCAAAAGCGTAAGATATTCTCTTTCTCAGGCAACGGAGCTGAGCTGTACCTATACAGAACAAAAGCCAATAAAACTTAGTCTTGTTACTTTACCACCAATTCCCCCCATCTTCCTCTCTAAAATATTACCCTCTATTCCCAACACCTAAAATTTGTGGTATGTCTACAAAGCAACTGGATAACTTTAGCTGGCCCATGCCAGCCAACTCGGGCTTATGGAGCTGAGGATGCAGAGCTGTTTCATTGCTGTCTAGACCTGCGGGCTGGGCGGGAGCCCAGGCTGTAGGTCCCAGAGCTCAGGCTCCATCCTGAGCTGGAAGTCTACACAGCAATGAAACAGCCCTGTGACCCTGTCGGCCCGCCGGGGTTTTTTTGTTCCTGTGTAGACATACCCTTACTAGCTTTGTTGGGTACTAGGAACCAGTGATCTGGTATTCCAGATTGGAAGCACAGTATTAATACTTGCCATGATTATAAGGCTCATCTTCAAATTGCTTTACAAACTAGTCCTTAGAATGCCCCTGAGGGGTAAGTATTACCCTCATTTTGTCAAGTGGAGGCAGAGAGGTAATTTGCCTAGGATCACAAAAGGGAGTCAACATTGAGATGGGAGCTCATGTGCCTGGCCTCTGTCCTTAGTTCCTTGCTCAATACAATACCTCTTGTATTAAATGCTTAATCTTGTTCTGTTCCAATTGATTAGTACTATGCTTAGTTATCCACCTTCTGTTCAAAGACCTTCAAACATTAGTTTAGACATATTTCAAGCAACTGGTTTTCCTATAGAACAGATGTCCCACGCAGCAGGGGCTAGGTAGGATAACTTTTTTGAATGCTGCTCTGCAATCTTACTTATTCCAACCATCTTAAAACCTTTTTGCTATGTAATATCCAAAAAGACTGAAATAGCCAAGTGAGCTTTAATAAGAACTGTGTAGAATTAATTTGTCCCAAGAAACCAAAGTTTAACAAAATTTCACATACCTGGCTGCAAGTCCTGCATTTATAGGAATGGCCAAGAAAATGGGATATAGACCACCCATAACAGACCCAATTAATCCTCCTCTGACCATGGCACAGGGTGCACACGTTAGATCACCTAGATGACAAACAAGTCATTTCACAGTTAAGATACAATATCTACGTTGTTTTTACATTTTAACCTTAGCTTCAAGAGGTTTCACTCTGAAGTGAAATATATTGTCAGTGGAAATGGCCATGATGAACTGCAACTAAAGAGATTAACTAGAACAGTCTACCTATTGTATTATGACACATCTCCACCATTCAGCTCTATAGAGATTTCAATCAAATATAACCCAATTTGTATTGCTGTAATTGCATCTAAACTGAAGTGCCAGCATGCACTAAATATTACTGATTCAAACACAGATCCACTGATGGTGAAGTGTTCAACAATTAGTGGGGCATGTCATAGAAAAATCTGCTCTATCCATCTCATCTCACCTCATCTAAACCCCATTCAGGTTGAAGAATGTTTTTTTTGTATATGCATAAATGTAAAAAACTGTTGTCTTTTGACATTATTCTGTGCACGTGGCAGTTCATGTACAAGGTGAGGTTTTCAACGCTACATTGCTTCACTGTTTTGCAAATAGCATAAGCTTTTCTGGCATTATATATAAAGCACAGACAGTTTTTATGACATGGGAGTTTTGAAAACAGTGCCCTTCATAAGGAATTAAAAATTTACCTGAAATTAAAGGTTCAGTTATCGCAGCTTGGTACATTGCTGCTGTTGCGAGGAATGGAAGAACAGCCATTGGCAAACTAGAAGCAATCCCAGCCTGCGTCACATTTAGGATGCGTCTGAAAAGATTGTTTGCTATTAAACCACAAAAGCCTCCATTTATTCCCAGGAAGTATGATCCATGTTTAAAGAGTTTCCTGTTGGGGGGGAAATTAGGTTAACATTTTCTGCAACTGTGGTGTACAGGAAATCTGTTTGCTCAGTCTTATGTCTTTGGGAACATGCTGTATTAAATTACTACGCTGAAGATGATCTAAAATGGAGTTGTCCTGCTTTCAGAAGCAACTAGTACACTGGTACAGTATTCTCTGCCATTGCCTGAAGTTACTGTGATAGTGGTAAGGATCAGGGAAGAACAAGTAGGTATACTTCCAAGTATGCACAATTGGCCAAGTGAATTACATGTACGGGTTATCTTCTAAAACTGAGATTCTACACTTCTAGGGGATCACAGGCATAGCCAGACAGAAGGCATAGGCGACTCACAGGGGTAAAAATACTGTTTTTGAGGAACAGTCTGATTTGGTACAGTAAATGCTATGAGTCTTGGAAATGATCATTTATGCTTCCCCATGGTAGCGTTCTAATAAAAACACTAGGTTATGTGAGAAGCCCCTACACAAAAAGCTGTCTGGAAAAAAACAACTAATTAATTGAAGTTTAGCCTTGGTGTTAAACAGCAGAAGCACAACCACTTAGGCCAGGGGTGGGCAATAATTTTCACAGGGAGGCTACTCCATGAATTTTGGTAAGTTGTCACAGGCTGCGTATTTCTACTACAGGGATCAGCAACTTTTGGCGCGCGGCCCATCAGGGAAAGCCGCTGGCTTACCTGCAGCGTCCGCAGGTTCGGCCAATCGCAGCTCTCACTGGCCGCGGTTCACCGTTACAGGCCAATGGGGGCTGCGGGAAGTGGGGCAGGCCGAGGGATGTGCTGGCCGCCCTTCTCGCAGCCGCTATTGCATGCATTAGAGTGGCTACAGGATGAAAGAACTCGGTCCCATCCCCTTCCTATTCTATCCCAATTATCCCTCTATTTGCCCTTTAGTTCAAATGCCCAGCCTACTTGCTCTGACACTACAATACCCCAAGTTGCTTAAGTTTAACAAACAAATAGGCAGAGGTAGGTTTAAAAAAAGCCCAGAGTTAATACATAATAGACAAGTGTTATGGAAACAAACTGGACTTAGTAAGAATTATATAATTAATTGCAAAAATTACTTTTATCTGAATCATCAGGTTGTGCATAAGCCACCTTGTGTAACTGCATCACCTTCAATCCTTCCTCCCTTTTTCTGACTTAGGTTTGTTACACATGTTGCATCTTATTTTACATTAGATTAAATTCTTTTGAGGCATGCACTTCCTATGTGTTTGTACAGCACCTACCAGAATGGGCCACCGATTCTGAGTGCTACTGATATAAATCCAGGTATTAGCCTTTCTTCCACCATGACCATTCCACAATGTAGATTTAGTCTCAGCATGAGAGCCAAGGCGGTGGGAAGAGAAAACAACACAAACCATGGGATCACGGCAGGGGACCTCTGCAGTTACTGGCAACTCCTCTTGCTCTGAGCTTACCAGCTGAAGTCTGTGCATGGCCCCTTCCTTCCATGTTGAGCCCCATTAACTTCAAGGAGGCCCTGTTTGGGCACAAGGTTATGCTAGCACAGATCACTTTATAGCAGGGGTCGGCAACCTACGGCACGCGAGCCGATTTTGAGTGGCACGCTGCCTGCCCGGTGAGAGGAGGAGGAGGGGCCGGAAAGCGCCACGTTTGGGGAAGAAATGGGGGAGGAGGGAAGCTTGGCTGCCGCAGGACCAAGCTTCTGCCTCCTTCCCCAGCAGGGGAGAGCGGGGTGTGTGTGTGTGTCTCGGTCCCCCCGTCCCACACAGCCCCCACCGCTCTCCCCTGTGGGGGCAAGAGGCAGAAGTTTGGTCCTGCGGCAGCCAAGCTTCCCTCCTCCCCCGCCTCTTCCCCC